TTTTTTTTTTTTTTTTTTTTAGCTTAAGTTGAAACATTCTCAAATGTTTGGGGGGGAAACATCCTCTTAAAATGGGTCCTTGTGCTTGCCTTCTGGGGAGGCGGTCCTGAGTAGGTGAATCATATGGCATTTATGCATATGTTATATGCGGACTGCACCCACCTCTGCCCCCATCCTTTGCCTCTTGGATTGTTGTGCTACTTTCTCCTTACTTTGCTACATTTCTATAGTTAAGTTGGTTTTACTTGAATGATTCATGTTTAGGGGGAAAAAAATGAAAAATACCCTTAAAATTTGTTTCAACTCCTCCTGCAAATAAAATAAATGAAGTGGCAGATGTAAATGGGCTCCAGTCATTGTCACCCTGAGTGGGGGGGTGTGCGCGTGTGCGTGCTTGTGTGCATGTGTGTGTGCGGTGGGGGAGGGGGGCAGTGGCTATCTCCCCATAGCAGTTTCAGGTAACCTGAAAGACATTTGTGGGGGGCAGAATGTTGCTTAGTCCCTCCTCAGAAGCCCCTCCCTTACTCAGTTCTGTGGGAGGAGCCTAGTCCATCCCTCAGTAGGCCATTAATTTCTCATTCCGACGCCACTGGTTTTGCTTCATCCTGTGCTTTGGACCCCAGGAAAGCCAGATTTTTTCACCGTGGTGTCATGGGCAAGGACTTTGGCTTCCCTGGTGGTAGGGCAAAGGGTGTGGATAGCATGACTCAGCCCTCTGGGCTCACCAGTGAGCAGGAGGATTACCTGAAAGCTAGCCTAACCCACATGGGCCTGGCCTCAGGTGGGCCCCAACATTCAGACCTTTGTCAGCCCTGGGCTTGGCTGTGAGTAGGTAGGCACCTTGTAAAGTTCCTTATACCTGCCTTCAAGGAGAATCCGGAGGTGTTTTCTGAAACCAAACTAGGAAGGATCCTGTGGGCCCAAAGCAGGGACCTTTGCTGTATGTATGAGGACCAGGGAGGGATAGCTTTATAGTGTTTGGAGTATACCAATAGCTGTGTGGAAATCCAACAGCCACCGCCACGCAGGCCCGGGTTAGAGCGGTTGCTGCCTGCTGGGGGCCCCACCCTGGTATGTACCTCTCCACACCTCTTCCCCTGCAGCTAAAAGCTTATGAGCTGGGAGACAGGATGGGACTGGGAAGGCTCTGCATATGATGGGTGGGAGCCTTGGGGCTAAGAAAGGCTTGGAGAAGTGGGGAGGCGGCTAGACTGGAATTTCGGAGACTGGGCTGGGAAGAAAATTCAGAGGTGTGACCCCAGCGCAGGCCAGAGTCCTTGGAGTCCTCACCCCTGGGTTGGGGGCCGAACCTGCTGAGCCGGGCCGCCCCCTCTCCCACACTCACTCCTGGCACCTGGAACCCGACCTATTGGCTTGTGTCTCCACCTCTTTGGCTTCACAACCTTGCAGCCCGTCCCACCCTACCAGGGCCCAGTACTCGGCCGCCCGCGGGACTGCGCTGCCCTACCCTGCCAGCTTCGGGGGGCGCCTCGGAAGCTATGGGTATGTGCAGAGAGGTTTGAGTGGCTCCTCAACCTTGCAACTGTGTGGATATGGTAACAGACACCCACCACCAACACCCCACTCGCCCGCTGTCCTCTACCCGGAGCCCAGGACTCCTGGCGGCGCGCCCTGGGGAATCCGCCCCGACTGGGCCTTGCTGAGCGGCGCCCGCGCCTCGTCCTCCTCCCGCAGAGGTCCAGGTTCTGGCTGGATACCGCGCGCAGAAGGAGGACGAGCTGAGCCTGGCGCCCGGGGACGTGGTCCGGCAGGTGCGCGAGGGGCCTGCACGGGGCTGGCTCTTGGAGAGCTGGGGGGCCGCTGCGGCCTCTTCCCTGAGCACCAGGTGCAGGTAAGGCGGGGCTAGAGGGGCGCCAGGGGAATCCGCGCGGTGCCCGGGAGCTGTGAGCCTCCCTCTCCCGCTTCCTCATCCCTAGGAGATTCCAGAGAACCTGCGGGGCGCCGGGGAGGCGCAAAGACCGCGCTACGCACGCCGCCGAGGTAAGCACCGGGACCCGCGGGCGAGCGCGGGAAGCCCACGCGTCCAGAGCCGCCAGGTTCCAGCGGTGGCCTTGCGCGGTTCCGGGAGGGGGCCGCGCGGCCGCGCTGTGGTCTGTGATTGGTTCTTGAGTACAATGTTCCGTCACGGGGCGGGGCCTGGAGGCACTAAGAGGTGCGCTGTGGACTGCCCCTCCCCGAGCTCAGCGGAGTGGGTCACCCGGCGAAAGCTGCCACACTCATCTGACACCAGGTCACCCCGCCAAATCTCGGGGACCTCAAAGATGGTGCAAAGTGAAATTCAACTACAGCCCGGAGCAGGCGGACGAGCTGAAGCTGCAAGCTGGGGAGATGTTGGAAGTGTTAAAGGAGGTGAGGGGATGAGGTGCTGAGAGTGTACGGGGGAGATAAAGGAGCAAGTCTCTGGAGTGACGGGTGAACTGAGGGAGTGGGCGACGGGAATGGTGAGGGACGCAGAGATTAGGAAGTGAGGAAGCAAGGGAGGAGGGTGTCTTCGGGCAGAATCGGAGAAGAACCAATGGGTGTCAGAGTTTTAGAGACCCTTGGGACAGAACCAGATGCCCCTGCGTCCTCCCCTACTCCCCAGATTGAGGACGGCTGGTGGCTGGGGCAGAAGAATGGGCAGCTGGGAGCCTTCCCATCTAACTTTGTGGAGTTGCTGGACAGTGGTCCGCCAAGTGAGACCTCCTTCCTGTCACCCGGTGAACCCTGTGACCAGACTCTGCAATCTCCATTGACCCTCCCGGTGGCCTGAGCCTGTGGTCCACACAACCTGACCCTGTGACCCCTTTGACCCTCTCCTATGATCTAACCTGTAAACTTGCATACCCCACCTAACCTCACTGTCTCCCCCACCCTCCCACCAGGCCTTGGTAACCCAGACGTGCCTTCAATCAGCCCTTATCCCCAGCGGCCTTCTAAGGTAAATTGGGTCAGGGTGGATGTATAGGTGGTGAGTTCCCCTTAGGGTGGTTGGAGGCTCAGTTTGTTCCTCCCTTTGCCTGCCCCCACTAGCTGAGCAGCTTGACCTATGACAAACCTCCAGATTACCTTCAGACAGGTGAGCACCCAGCCAAAGGGTTCCCTGGTCTTCCCTCCCCCCACACCCCAAACCACAGTACCTTGACTTGGGGGAGGGGAGACCAGCTAAGCTGATGGGGAAGGGAGGTGCTAACTGCTGGAGGATTATTGGCTTGAATGGACTGCCCTCCCCTCAGTCTCCCACCCTGAGACCTACAGGGTCCTGTTTGACTACCATCCTGAGGCCCCAGATGAGTTGGAGCTGCGGAGGGGGGACGTGGTGAAAGTACTGAGCAAGGTGCGAAAGGAATAGGGCAAGGGAGGGCCCAGGGAAGGAGGTGCTGAAAAGGGGTGGGACCCAGATGAGAAGGAACTTGGGGGACCTGGCTCACCTCCCACCCTCATCTTTCTCTCCCAGACCACAGAGGATAAGGGCTGGTGGGAAGGAGAGTCTCAAGGCAGGAGAGGAGTTTTTCCTGACAACTTTGTGCTCCCACCACCCCCCGTGAGTACAGAACCTCACACTCAGGTGGCAGGGGCTAGGCTACTTTGGTCAAAGTTGGGGGTCATGGCACTCCCTGGGCACAGCCAGAGGGACATGGGGCTCTCTTGAAACAGCCAGGGGGTTATGTTATGGTACTCCCTGGACCCAGTTGGAGGGTCACCCCTAAATGAGAGTAGACCTAAAAGTGTGGGGGCACCTCAGATTCTGATACTTCCTTTCTGCATAGATCAAGAAGCTGCTTCCACGGAAAGTGGTATCTCGGGAATCAGGTGCGTGCCTGGGAAGCCTGGACTGGAAGGTGCTCTCTGGGAGGCCCACCAGCTCATTTACCCATAAACACCCACAGCTCGCCCGCCATCCAATACACCATCACCCCTGTAGGAGCTCCTTCCCCTGTGGGTCAAGGGCTTGGTAGGAATGTACGTGGGTCATTGTGTCAATTCGTGTGTGTTAATAGGTTCGTGTTTCTGTGTGTGTGTTGAGAATGTGGCTGTCAGCATGTATTTGTTTCATTTGTGTGAGGAAATGTATGGATCTATGTATCTGTGTCCATGAGACTGTGTTTATGTCCATGTGTCTTACATGTGTGTCAATACATAGCTCTGTATATGTATATCCATGTGTCTGTGGGGATGTGTGTATTTTTGTTTATATTTTAACAGAATATTTGAAACATGCCAAAAATATAACATATGCATCATAAAGCTTAACAATGAACACCCATGGTCTACCATGCAAACCCAAGAACTAGAACATTGCCAGTAGTTTGTATATTCCTTTTCTTTTCCATTCTGCTACTTTTCCCACCCCATTATCTAGAATTTTGTGTTTATAACTCCCTTGTGTTTTTAGGTTTTTTTTTTTTTAAAACATGTGTATGTGCCTGAACAATGTATCACTTAATTTTTTTGCTTGTTTTTGAACTTAATAAAAATGGTATCATGCTGTAGATAGTCTTCTGGAACTTGCTGTGTTTAATCAACATTATGTCTCTAAGATTCATCCATGTTGTTATGGGTAGCTGTAGGTATTTATTTTTCCTCTTTTCTGTAATTTTCCTTGTAGGAAATATACCACAATTTATGTATCTGTCCTCTAGAACAATTTAGTTCTAGTTTTTTGCTATTACAAATAGTACTGCCATGAATATTCATGTGCATGTCTTCTGGTGTGCTGGTGTAATAGTTTCTCTAGCGTATAATCCTAGGAGTGGCACTGCTAGATCGTGAGGTATGCGAATGCTCGGTTTTACTAGATAAAGTCAAATTGGTTTCCAAAGTGACTGTGTACTTTAACACTCCACCATTGGTGTATAAGAGAGCCTGTTGGTTTACATTTTGGAATATCTTTTTTTTTTCTGCCTTTATTTTTGAAGGACAGTTTTGCTGGATATAGAATTCTTGGTTGACAGGTTGTTCCCCCACTCCTCCAGCACTTTGAATGCCATTCCATTTCCTTTTGGCCTCTATTGTTTATTTCCTTCTTTCTTAGTCTTTATTTAAGGAATAATTCATATAAAATACAAGTCACCAGTTTTAAGTGGATACTGTGATGATTTTTCTGCCATCCTCCTCTCCCTCCATTCTCTGGCAATTACCAGTTTTCTTTTTGTCTTGATGGATTTACCTATTCAAGATATTTCATATAAGTGGGATAATACAATATTTGTCCTTTTGCGGCTGACTTACTTCATTTAGCATAAAGTTTTTAAGGTTCATCTATGTGATGGCACATATCAGAACTTCATTTTTCTTTATAGCTGAATAATATTTCATTGTGTATACATACCACAATTTGTTTATCCATTCACATGTTGATGGGCACTTGGGTTGCTTCTACTTTTTAGCTATTGTGAATAACACTGCAGTGAACATCGGTGTATACGTGTATTTTTGAGTTGCTATTTTCAGTTCTTTTGAGTATATATACCTAGGAGTAGAAATACTGGGCCATATATTTCTATGTTTAACTTTTTTAGAAATCACCGAACTCTTTTCCATAGCGACTATACCATTTTACATTCCCATCAGCAATGTATAAATCTTTCAGTTTCTCCACATTTTTGCCAACACTTGTTGTTTTCTTTTTCTTTTTTTTTTTTTAATAATAGCTATCCTAGTGGGTATGAAGTGGTATCTCATTGTCTTTTTGATTTGTATTTCCCTCATAACTAATGATGTTCAGCCTCTTTTCATGTACTTGTTGGCCATTTGTATATCTTCTTTGAAGAACTGTCGTTTGCCCATTTTTTAATTGGGTTGTTAGTCTTTTTGTTGAGTTTTAAGAATTCTTTATAAATTCTGTGTATTAAACTTTTATCTGATATATGGTTTCCAAATATTTCCTCCCATTCTGTAGGTTGTGTCTTGACTTTCCTGATAATACCTCTTGATGCACAAAAGTTCTGAATTTCGGTGAAGTCCAGTTTATTTATTCTCTTGTTGCTTGTGCTTTTATCTAAAAACATATTACCTAAAAGAAGGTCTTGAAGCTTTACTCATATGTTTTCTTTTAAAAGTTTTATGGTTTTAGCTCTTATATTTAGGTCATTGATCCATTCTGACTAATTTTGTGTATGGGAGGTATGGGGTCTAGCTTCATTCTTTTCATGTGGAAATCCAGCTGTGCCAGCACCATTTGTTGAAGAGACTATTCCTTCTCCCACTGAGTAGATTTGACATCCTTATCAAAAATCAATTGACTATGGATGTATGGGTTCATTTTTAGACTGTCAATTCTGTTACATTCATTGGTTTGTATGTTGATCCTTATACCTGTATCACACTGTTTTTGTTACTGCAGCTCGGTAGTATGTTTTAAAATCGGGAAGTGTGAGTTGTCCTACTTTGTTCTTTGTTTTTTCAAAATTGTTTTGGCTATTCAGGGCCCCTTGCAATTCCATGTGAATTCAAGGATTGGCTTTTCCAATTCTGCAAAGGGGGCTGTTGGAATTTTAATAGGAATTGTGTTGTATCTGTAGGTCACTTTTGGTAGGATTGACGTCTTAACAGTATTAAGTTCACTGATCTGTTAACACAGATTTTTTTCCATTTATTTAGATCTCCTTTGATTTCTTTCAGCATTGTTTTATAGTTTTCAATATAAGGGCTTTCACCCCTTAGTTAAATTTATCCCTAGGTATTTTATTCTTTTAGAAGCTATTGTAAAATGAATTATTTTCTTAATTTCCTTTTCAGATTGTTACTTGCTGGTGTATAAAAAACACAACTGATTTTTTTAAAATTGTGCTTTAGGTGAAAGTTTACAGCTCAAGTTAATTTTTCATAGAAACATTTATACACATATTGTTTTGTGACATTAGTTGCAATCCCCACAATATGACAGCATGCTCTGCCTTTCCACCTCACATTCCCTGTGTCCATTTAGCCAGTTTCTGTCCCTTCCAACCTTCTCATCCTGCCTCCAGACAAGAGCTGCCCATTTGATCTCATGTATCTGATTGAACTAAGAAGCACACTCCTCATGTGTATTATTTTTTGTTTTATAGTCCTGTCTAATCTTTGTCTGAAGAGTAGGCTTCAGAAATGGTTTCAGTTCTGGGTTAACAGAGTGCTGGGTGCCATAATTTCGGGGTTTCCTCCAGTCTCTGTCAGACCGTTAAGTCTGGTCTTTTTACATGAATTTGAGTTCTGCTCAACACTTTTCTTCCACTCCATCTGGGACTCTCTGTTGTGTTACCTGTGAGAGCAGTCATTACTGGTAGCCGGTCACCATCTAGTTCTTCTGGTCTCAGGCTGGTGGACTCTCTGGTTTATGTGGTCCTTTACTCTCTTGGGCTAATGTTTTCCTTGTGTGTTTGGTTTTCTTCATTCTCCTTTGCTCCAAGTGAGATGGGAACAGTTGATGCATCTTAGATGGCTGCTCACAAGCTTTAAAACCCCAGATGGCACTCACCAAAGTGGGATACAGAACATTTTCTTAATAAACTGTTATGCCAATTGACCTAGATGTCCCCCAACACTATGGGCCCTAGGCCTCAGCCCCAGGTACTCTGTCCCTCAAAGTGTTTGGATGTATCCAGGAAACTTCTTAGCTTTTGCTTTGGTCCAGTTGTGCTGACTTCCCCTGTATTGTATGTTGTCCTTCCCTTCACCGAGGTTGATCCTTGTCTACTGTCTAGTTAGTAAATTCCCCCAGCCCCACGCTCGTAACTATCAAAGAATGCTTTTTTCTGTGTTTAAACCTTTTCTTGAGTTCTTATAATAGTGGTCTCATATGATATTTGTCCTTTTGTGACTAATTTCACTCAGCATAATGCCCTCCAGATTAATCCACATTGTGAGATGATTCACAGATTCATCATTGTTCTTTATCATTGCATAGTATTCCATTGTGTATATACCATAATTTATTCATTCATCTGTTGATGGGCACCTAGGTTGTTTCCATCTTTTTGCTATTGTGAACAATGCTGCAATGAACATGGATGTGCATATGTCTATTCGTGTGATGGCTCTCATTTCTCTAGGATATATTCCTAGGAGTGGGATTGCTGGATCGTATGGTATTTCTATTTCTAGCTTTTTAAGGAAGCGCCAAATCATTTTCCAATGTGGTTGTACCATTTGACATTCCCACCAGCAGTGCATAACTGTTCCAATCTCTCCACAACCTCTCCAACATTTATTATTTTGTGAAAAACACAACTGATTTCTGTGTTTTACTGAATTCTTTTATTAGCTTTCGTAGCTTTCTTGTGGATTCTTGTGGATTTTCTCCATATAGTATCTTGTCATCTGTAAATAGAGTTATTTTTAATTCTTCTTTTCTGATTTGGATGCCTTTTATTTCTTTTTCTTGCCTGATTGCTCTGGCTAGGACTTCAAGTATAATGTTGAATAGCAGTGGTGAAAGTGGGCATCCTTGTCTTTTCTGAATCTTAGGGGGGAAAGTCCATTGTTTCTGATGAAAAGTCAACTATTAATTGTATAGATGCTGTTTGTGTACGTGGTGTTTTATATCTTGCTGCTTTCAAGATTTTCTTTTTGTCTTTGACTTTCAGCAGCTCAACTATGATATGTCTAGGTATGGATTTCATTATATTTATCCTGTTTGGGGTTTGTTGAGATTCTTGGATATGTAGATTAATGGTTGTCATCAGATTTGGAAGTTTATGGCCATTATTTCTTCAAATCTTTTTTTGGCCCTTTCATTCTCTCCTTTTTTTTGGGAATTCCTATTACACTTAGGTTGGCATGTTTGATGTTGTCCCACCGATCTCTGAGTGTACATTTTTCTTCAGTCTTTCTTCTCTGTGTTCTTTGGTTGCATAATTTTTAATGATCTGTCTTCAAGTTCACTGATTCTTCTTTTACCTCAAGTCTGCTCCTGCTTAGTGAATTTTTCTTTCACTTATCATATTTTTTAACTCTAGAATTTCCATTTGGTTCTTTTTTATAATTTCTATTTCCTTATTGAGATTCTCTATTTGTTGATTCATTGTCATACTTTAATTCTTTAAACATGATTAAAGAATCTCTTTCTTTGTCTCCTTTATAACAGCTGCCTTGAAGTATTTGTCTGTTAAATCCAACCTCTGTGGACATTAATCAATAGTCTCTATTGACTTCCCCCCATCCCGAGTAGAGGTTACACTTTTTCTTTGCATTTCTCTTAATTTTTTGTTGAAAACTGGACATATTGCAGTAAATTTGGATTTTGATTTTTCCCTGAAGGAAGTTGGTTTTGCTTTTTTGTTTCTTTCTTTGTTTAGTAACTTGCCTGGGCTAAATCTGTTAAATCTATATTTTCTGTGATGTCTGGCTACTGATGTCTATAAAATTTAAAAAAATTATTAAAAAAAAAATTTTAAGCATGGCTTGCTAAGAATCATCCCTGTCTGCATAACTTATTATCGTTCAGCCGATGATTGGACAGAGGTTGCACTCAGACACATTAAGTAAGACTCTCACCCTCTGCAAGTGGATCTCTGTGTGCGCAGAATAGCGTATTCAAAGTTCAGGCTATTTTCAAGTCTTCTCTGTCTTTTACTTTCTACTTGGCCTCTTCACAGATTCTCTGGGCATGCAAGCAGCCTCAGGGTTGACCAGGACTGTGTGGATAACTTGGGCTTTCTCCGGTCTCTGCTCACTGGCACACAGCCTCAGCCAGGAATATGTGTGCCCCTCCCTTGACTCAGGTTAATAGAGACATTTGTCCTCCCCATCTACCTGCTGCCTGGACCATCACTTCCACCAACAATGTCAGTGGGTGTGGACCTCACTAACCACTCCAAATTGAATGATCCCTTTTCAGCCATGGCAGTGAAGTTGCTGGTCCTCACAATCTGCTCCACCCTGGCAGAACATCCACTGGGCAAGAATACTTACGCGTAAACCCTTCTCAGATTGTTATATGCCTTTGGTCAGTTTCCAGAGTACTTAGATGGTTGTTTTGTCCATTTTGTTCAGCTTGATAGGTGATTTTTGCAGAGAGGATTTGCCTACCACCTCACTCAGCCATAGCCAAGTCCCACCTGTATTATCTATTACTCTTACCCTTGCTTTCAAATGTTTCACTCCTTTTCTCACTATACTTCCAGTTTGCTAATTCTGTCTCTAGCTGTTTGGCTAAGTCAATCTACTATTTAACCTTTACATTGCTTTTTATTTCAAGAATGTTATTTTTTTATTTCTGGCCGTTCAATTTTCTTTATTTTTCCCAATCTACTGTTTATTCCTGGTGGGCCCTTTGTTGCATGCTCCATCCTTTATTCCTTCAAATATTTTATACATAGCTGTGCTGTGTTCTCCATCTGACAATTCCAGTACCTGTTGCGTCTTATGTCTGCTGACTCCTGCTCTTACTGGCTTATCTTGTGTGTTTTATGATCTTTGTTTATGAGTTCATTACTTGATCTTAATCTCTGAAAGTCTTGCAGGACTTAGTTGGGAAAGATTTCTTCCAGAGTGGATTTGCTTCTGCTTCTGCCAGTAGCCAGAGGACACCAACCACCAGAGACCTCTTCAGCCCTCCTGAAGAAAGGTGGTGAGAGGTCAGCACTGTTTTGTGGATGCTGAACCAGGGGCCTGTGGTGAGGTGATGGATCAGGGCTTGGGATACCTCACTACAGGCCCAAGGACCGAGGCTCAGTATCCACAGAGCAGTGCTGCCCTCTTACTGCTTTTCTGACCTCAGTTCCCCACCCCCATTTTTAGTGAAACTTCTTACCTCTTTTCAGTTCAGAAGTGCCTCAAAAAGTGTATCCTAAACAGAATGTAATTGTTCTTTAGTGGGGGAGGGCCTTCAGAGCACCTAGTCAGCCATATTACAAGAAACCGAAGTCAGAGTTAACATTACAGGTAGTCCCTGACCTACAGTGTGGTTCCATTCCAACGACTGTGTCGTAAGTCCGTTCTGATGCAAGTAGAATACCTCATTTTTTTTTTTTTTTTAGTTTTCATTATTATTGCCTTTTATTATCAGTATCTTTATAAATCTGACAGCATTTTGAACAGTAAATCATAAAATTGGACATTGGCAAGTGAACATCTGAGAATGATAATGTTATGGATTGAATTCCATCCCCTAAAAATATGTATTGTCATTCCTAACCTCTATGCCTCTGGTTATAATCCTGTTTGGAAATGGGTTGTCTTTGTTGTGTTAATGAGGCAGGGTTAGTGTAGGGTGTGTCTTGAGTCAATCTCTTTTGAAATAGAAAAGAGATTAAACAAGCAAGTGAGAGCAAGTGGGGGAAGAGAGATACCAAGCCACATGAAGATTGCCCAGGAGCAGAAGCTCAAAGAGACAAGGCCCTTCCTCCAGAGCTGACAGAGAGACAGAAAGCCCTCCCCTAGAGCCAGCACCCTGAATTCAGACTTCTAGCCTCTAAAATGTGACAAAATAAATTTCTGTCTGTTAAAGCCACCTATTTATGGTATTTCTGTGATAGCAGCACTAGATAACTAAGAGAGAGGACATCAGCAAATTATGTGCTGCAGCATATTACTAACGATAAGATGTTAAAAAAAAAAAAAAGAAAAGGTCATAAGTGCAGTTCAGCATAACTTGAATACGTCGTTAACTCGGGGACTACCTGTACTGAGCTTTGACTATATGCCACTCTTCTAAGCACTTCACATGTATTATGTCACTTAGACCTCACAACAGCACTATGAGGTGTGTACTCTTATCCATGTTTTCAAATGAGGACATTGGGGCACTGAGAGGTTGTTACTTGCCCACGTTCTCTCACAGCTAAGCTAGCAAGTAATGGAGCTAGAATTCAAATCCTGGTGTCTGGCTGTAGAATCCATGCTTTTACACATGGATTTGTGTAGGTAACTGCATGTGATAATGTGTCTGTGTGAGTAAATGTCAGCACAGTAAATGTGTGCTTATTCCAGAGTGGCTGTTTGTGTGTCCATGAATATGAATGTCGCTGTATGTGACTGCCTTCAGGTGCCCACTCTGATGTCCCCTTCTCGGTACAGACTTTTCTGACCACCTCATTAAAAATTGTACACTCCCCTGCTTATTCTTTCTCAGTAACACTTAAAACTCTCTAACACAGTACATACTTTACTTGTTTTGTTTATGTCTGCTTTCACAATAGAGTGTGAAGTCACTCTGAGGGACACACTATAGGCAGGGTGGGTGTGGCAGAGCCCAGGTCGGAGGCTGTTGCAGTAGTCCACGTGACGGTGGTTGTGGGTGATCTAGAGTGCTTAGTGGTGGAGGGTAGTGACAAGTGATTAGATTCAGGACATACTTTGAAGGTAGAGTGACAGGATTTGCTGATGGTTTGGATGTGCAGCATAAGGGAATAAAAGGAGTCTAGGATGACTCCTTTATAGGTGAGATGTGGTATAGTGGGATAGGGGGGATATGGGGCAGATTTAGGGGAATGAAGGGGCTGGGAAGCCAGAGATCGATTTTAGGTATGTTCAGTGTATGATGCCAGTTAGCTCTCCAGTTGGAGATACTGAGAGGGCAGTTGGGTATGAGTCTGGAGTTCAGGAAAGAGGAAGGTTCTAGAGATGAAAATTTCAGTGCCGTTGGCTTATTGATGATATTTAAACCCATAAGACTGGGTGAGACCTCTTGAGGAGTAAATGAGATAGAGAAGACAGGCAAGTTCAAAGAAGGGTAGATTGGAAGGGGGAAGGCAGTTGCCATGGTCCAAGAAAGAGATGAAGTCTGAACTAGGGAAGCAGCCATAGGCACTAAGAAAGGGACAGGTCTTAGAAAGTATGGAGGTAAAACTGGCAGGATATGGAGCCATCTCCCCCACAAAGCCTCCCTTATTCCCATCTGCTTGTATCCCTTAGGGAGCTCCTGGGATGTGGGGTTGATTCATCTACTGTCTCTGGTCCCCTGTGCACAGCACAGAATGGAGCCAGCAACTTTTAGATACATGAATAAATGGTGAATGAATGTCTCACTCTTCTTTCCCCTCCCAGCTTTTGTTAAGGAACCAAAAAAGATGATGCCCAAAACAGCCCTCCCTACTGTCAAGAAGCTGGTGACAGCCCCCACTGGGCCCAGCAAAGCCAAGTAAGGAGCAGGATGGGAGTGGGGAAAAGGGAAGGGTACAAAGGAAATGCTGCTCCCTGTCCCCCCCACCCTACCCCACCCAGGGCCTGACGAGGGTATGTTCCAGGCCATCTTGGACATCCAGAGGGGACAATCAGAGGCACCCCTCCCATGACTCAGGTAAGGGCTGCCTCCCTCCAGTGGGGATGGGGGATGGAGATAGGGTGGGTGGTTGTGCTGAAGAAGAGATGGGGAGTGACTGAGGGTCAGAGTAGACCCGGGCCCCTGAGGTTCTGCTCTCATAGGTTCCAGTGGCAGATTCCTTGGTGGGGTTCCCGGCCACCCTGGCAGAAAGCGATCCAAAACCCAGGCTCCCCAGCAACACTCTGCCCCCAGTCAGGTGAGAGCCCCAAGACACATAGGAGTGGGGTTCTGGGCAGAGTCTGGTTCCCAGAGGTGTGGTATGCAAAGGATCCTACAAAGAGGAGTCAGACTCACACCTGCAAGGTCTCCAGCCCTTAATCGAGACCTCACCTTCGTCACCACAGGAGGAAGAGCAGAGCAGCCTGGCAAAGGCCTCTTCTGTAAATAAAACCCCCACTCTGTACAAGACCCCGAAATCAGAGAAGACCCAGTATCCTGATAAGGCTCCTACACCAGAGAAGACTAGGACTCCTGACAAAGTCCCCACCCCAGAGAAGACCCCAACCCTGGACAAGACCCCCACCCCAGAGAATACCCCGAAACTGGACAAGACCCCCACACCAGATAATGCCCCCACCCCAGAAAAGACCCCAACCCTTGACGAAGTTCCCACCCCACAGAGGGTCTTTTCTATGGATGAGGCCCCTGCCTTAGAAGTCCAACCTGAGGATGAAGCCCCTGGCCCAGAGATGGCCCCTCCTGGGGATAAACCCCTCGCTCTAGACAAGATCTCGACCCAGGAGCAGGTGCTGTCCAAAGAAGCACCCTGCACCAGACACAACACTCAATTCCATCACTTCTCCCTGGAGGAAGCCCTGCAGAAGGTCAAATCCCTTGTGACCACGGAGGCTCAATCCCAAGAGGAAGTCCATGTGCCAGAGGAGCCCCTGTTATGGCCTTACACCCCAGGGTGTAACTTCTGCGTGACCAAACCCCACCTCGATGAGAGAGACACCTCCCCACTCCAGCCTGAGCTTAAGTCCAAACCAGAGTCCATGCCCACCCCTGACAAGGCCCACCCCTCAAAAGAGGCAGCACCCCTCCTACAGGAGACACCTGGGGAAGATGAGGCTACCTGGAAAGAGGAGACAGCCCCAAAAGAAGAGGCACCCCCAAAAAGGGAAGTGTCTCCCAAAGAGGAGGTCCCCCCCACCGAATTAGCCCCTGCCGGAAAGAAACCACATCCCATCAAGCCGACCCCGGACCCCCAAGAGACTCCCTCTCTCCATTCCCGGGTCCCTGAAAAGCCCACAGAAAGCAAAGATGACAGAGTCGACGTAGTGAGGCTAAAGGACGAGGTGGAGTCTCTAAGGAGGTCTCTGGAACTGATGGGGGTGCAGCTGGAGTAAGTATGAAGGGAGAGGGAAGAGATGTGGGAAGGAGTGGGAGGTTGTAAGCCTTCTTGCCCCTCGCCCTCACCACCGGCTATCTTGTCCGCAGAAAGAAGCTGACCGGTATCCGGGAGGAGTTGAAGACCGAGAGAGAGCAGCGCCGGTTGCTGGAGGTGGGTGGGATGTGGACCCAGGGCGAGGAGGGAGCTGGCCGCTGGCCTTCCCCTGACGCCCTCTCTCGATTAGGTTCAGATACTGCAGAGGACCCAGGAGTCCCCGACTCGGGACTACATCCACTCGCAGACGCAGACGTACTAAGTGTGGGCCTGGGGAGGACCACAGCCCAACCTGGAAGGATGTCTGGCTTTGGCCACCCACGTCCTTGCACACAACTTTGGGAAATGCAAGAAAGTAAACTCTGCTTGCACACCGCGAGGTGCCGGGTCTGTGGGGGCGGGGCCTGCGCGACGGGGGCGGGGCCAGGCTGGCGCTCCTGGCTCTCCGCATTCCTGGAGGTCTCTCCCGGGCACATCTGGCCAACATGTGGCTTCCATTACAGTTCCCAAGGCCTGTGCGCGGCTATTTTTATCCACCGGATGGTGGGGGGAGGGCTTCTTCGGACGCCAGCCCCGCCCTGGAGTAACGGCGGGCCGGAGGGGCCCAGGCAGGGTCGGGCTCTGCCTGCTGGGCCTGGATTCCGGAATCCAGCTGTGTGCCACGGAGGGGGCCGGCCGCAGGGAGGGCCTTCTCTGGAGCCAGGAGCCCTCTCAGTCGACCCCAGAGGGACTTATGGGAACGCTCCTCTGCTCAGACACATGTAGTTACACTAGGGCTAATAGGACCTTAGCCTCAAGGTCAGGGTTCCCTGAGGCCTGGGGTGTATGTATGTGTGTGACTGTAGTGTTTGCGTGGACCCAGCGCATTTGTAGGGACAGATGTGATGTGCACACAGGTCTTTGCAGGGAAGGAATGCATTTATGAGTAAGGATTGTGTGTGAGCGTGAAGACTGATAGTGGAGTGTGGGTGCAGGAATCTGTATTTCTGTGTTGTTGCTGTCTGTGAAGTGAACACAGCATTTGTGCCGAGATGTCTGGTGGGTGGTCAGCTGGCCACGGCCTGGTAAAGGAGTCAGTGGGCCTCGGCCCTGCGGCCCCCTGCATGGCAGGAGCCTGGGGGCCGCTGGGTAGGGGGCTGGGGGGCAGGGGTAACAGAGGGAGAGATCAAGTCACTGAGAATGCAGCTTTCATTGGTCACTTCTTCATTGTCCCCCTATGGGGTGGGGACCCCGCCTCCTGCCCTCCCCCCTGGACTTCTGGCAGATCTGGGGAAGGGTGCCTCCCAGAGTGGGGGGATCCATGCCCAATAGCACCGGGGAGCTCTGGGGGGCAGAGCTTCCATAAAACTGTGGGTGGGGGCAGTCCCAAGGTCCTGGGGCGGCTCTGCGCTCGTTTGCAGTGTCCAGTACGAAGAGCGCCTTGCACCCGGGCGACTGGTCAGTAATAGTGCATGCGGCCCAGGGTACCCGTGGCCGTGGGGCCGGGCCCCAGTGCTCCTGTGCCCAGCAGATCCGGCTGCCCCGTGCGCCAGATCTCCCGCAAGATCCGCTCCCGTTCCTCCAGCCGCTGCGCGCGCTCCAGTTCTTCAGCCGATGTGAAGACATTGACGCTGAGGGGGCCATCGGGCTCCGGGGACAGCTCGGCTCCCGGCAACGTGTCGTCGGGTCCCAGCCGCGTCACCGTGTCCTCCTCATCTTCGTCGTCGTCCTCGGGCTCCAGGGTGCTACTTCGGAGGTCCCGGCGGGGAGGGGGGCCGCGGGGCCGCGGGCGGGGCGCGCAGGAGATGCTGATGACTAGGAGGCACAGGGTCAGCAGCAGGCCGAAGCAGACGCCCAGCACGAAGTAGAGGCCGAAGCTTTCGGGGTTGGCTGGGGATCAGAGGGCAGGGGTCATGCAGGGGTCCTGGAGGGTGGAAGGCAGTCCTTCTGGAAAAGACTGGTTCTAGGTTTGGAGGCAAGGGCCGTAAGCCCTATACAAGGATATTAGGAAGCTGCTATCAGGCAGTGGGGGGCAATGAGGTTGGTGAAGCTGGGAGGAAGTGAGTGGCAGGGGGTTGGTGTTATGGCAGGGGAGGGAGGACTGGGGTGGCTGAGGGGTGAAGTGGAGCCTGAGAGGGGCAGGAGGGGGTCCGTGTCCCCAGGGTGCTTCCGGCAGCCCGCCCTCACCGCGGATGTGTGCGTAGGCCGCCAGGCTGTTGCTGAGCAACTCCATGTCCCTTCGGGGTGCGTCCATGCTGCTCTGGTGGGGGGCAGCTCTCTTGTCAGCCTGCGAGGTCAGCAAGGTCAGACCCTTCCCCTGAGTCCAGAGCTGACCCTGACCCGCACCCTTCTCGAAGTAGCTCCTCTCCCTGGAATGGCCCCAGGTTCCACCCTGGAGCGAGCGGTTCCCTAATTTCGTGGCCTGCCTGAGCCGGGTCTGGGGGCTCCTTCCTCGGGGCCTGGACGCCCCTCCGTCCTGGGGGCAGAGGAGTGGGCCGCAGGAGGCTCTGCCCCCTTGTGGGTCCCCAGATAAGGCCGGGTAGTGCCGTCCTGGGGCTGGATGGAGGCTAGAGCCGCGGCCTCCTCCCTCACTCCCCAGGCAGACTCCGGGAGGGGAAGCCGTCGCCCACCCGCCTGCCCGCGGGGACCCTCGGCCGGCAGCCCGGGCTCACTCACCGTCCGCGCCCTGCTCCCTGGCAGCCCGGCCCTGCCGCGTCGGGCTTCCGTCCCAGGCAACCGCATACACTCGCGTCCAGTCGCTCCCGCCCGGTCCGGTCCCGGCCACTCCGCCCGCCCGGCTCGACTCCCAGGCGGCTGCAGCGCGGGCCGGACACGGGCCGACGTACCAGCGGGCGGAAAGTTTCCTCCGAGGAAAGAGGAGGGACGGGGCGGGGCGGGGGAGGCGGGGAGGAAAAGGGCCCGGGAGGAAGGGTAGAGGAGCGAGCCTGGGAGGAGGGGAGCGAGGCCTGCGGGGCCGGCCGCTCCCCCACAGGAAACCGCTGGGGAGGCCGGCTGCAGGGACCCGCCCTCAGACTACTAACAACAACAGTAATAGTAATCATGATGAAGTTCTGACTAGGTGGGAGGCAGTGGGCTAAACACTTTACATATTCTTCCATTTCATCTAAACATCTCTATAACGTAGGTACCATTATCCTCACTTTGCGGATAAGTAAACTGAGTCACGGAGAGCTTGAATAACTTTACCAAACAGTCAGGATTTGAACCCACTGCTCTCTCACCCTAGAGCCTGGGCTGTTAACCATTTCCCTATACCTTGCCCCCTCCTCCCAGGGAGCCCCTCGCCCCCAGCCCAGGTGCTTCGTCCCTGCTGCCAGCTCTGCTCCAGACCTACCCTCTTCCCCTCCCCCCCTCTCCCCCAAGTTTCCGATCCTTCAGTCCCTCAACCCGCCTTGGTGGGAGAGGGCTCTCAGGCCTTCCCCACAGGGCCCAGCAGTGTGTGTCCAGCTGGCCGAGCTCTGTCACGAAGGGTTAATGATTGTTGGACTCGGGCTTCTGGCCAGGCCAGACCAGCCTTGCAGAACCCAGCAAGAGGTTCCTGAGCTCTGCTGCTCAGAGCGTGTGGCCCGGGTGCATTCCCCCGCACCTGGCTAAACCTGTCGGTAAACATGCATGCATTCCCGCCTGGGCTAGGGCTTCTGCACGCAGTGCCTTGTGCTTTCAGTATGTGCAGCTTGGGATTTTCTTCCTGTCCAGACTCACAGGCCCCCCTTTCTGGGCCCCCCTCACTGTGCTGGAGCTGGGGTGAGGGGGAGGCCTTCTTGGCGGGAGCCTTTAGAGAGGAGGAGGGAAGGGGGAGAGGAAATTGCAGACATAGCTGAAGGCACTGCCTAAGGCCTGTGGGCCAGTGACCCCCCTCCCTGTCCAGGCTGGAGACCCCCACTCCCAGTCCTGAGACTGGGTTCAAGCAGAGGGCAGGTCTAGATGGGAGGAAGGACGAGGACTGACTGCCATGCGGAGGACCTCCTGGGTGTCTGTGTAACTATTTAGTCTGTTTGTGAGTGTGTGTGGAGGTTATTTCTGCCCATATCTGTATATTTGTGGGTCTATGTGGTATATCTGGTTGAGTATTTTTTGTGGGGGTGGTTATGTATATATAAATCTATATGGCTGCTACTCAACAAGTACTAAACGCTGTGTGCCTAGCACTTCCTCGGTAATGGGGATTCAGCAGTCAACAGAACGGACAAAAACTCCCACCCATAAAGAAGATACTTTTGGGTAGTGCTGAGAGCGCCGAGGATTAGGATATATGATAGAGAACATCTGGGGGTAGCTCTCACAGGGGACATCTGAGATGAGACCTGAATCCTGAGGCGGAGGCAGCCATACCAAGATCTGGAGGAAAGTGGGCAGGAATGGGTGCAAGTGCAAAGGCCCGGAGGTAGGAGGATGCTGGGCGGAGAGAAAGCTGATGTGGATGATGTGCCCTGAGCACAGGAGTGACAGGGTGATTGTGCAGGGACTTGTGGTCTCTGGTAAGTGTAGTGCGGGAGTTTTAGGCAGGGGAGTGTCATGGTCCTGATCTGATGACTCACTTTGGAAAGATCACTCTGTGGGATGGGCCACAAAGAATGGAAGCAGGGAGTGCAGTGGGCAGGCTGACAGCTGGTCTGGCAAGCAATGGCAGTGATTTGCACCAGGGTGGCCAGTGGAGGAGGTAAGAAGTGGTAAGATTAGGACTGTATTCTGAAGATAGCATCAACAGGAAAGAGGAATTAAGGACAACTTGATTTTTGGCCTGAGCACCGGAGGGAAGTTTATATGGGGCAGCAGGTTTTTGGGGGAATCGGAGTTTCATCTGTAGATACGCTAAATTTTAGATGTCCAGTAGATATCTGAGTACAGATGTCAAAGAGGCAGTTGTAGCCCAGAAGAGTCTGGACTGGAAATGGAAATTTGAGAGTCCAACATTTAAGATGGATTAAAAACCGCTGGGTGGTGCAAATGGTTAACGTGCTCGGCTGCTAACCAAAAAGTTGGAGGTTTAAGTCACCCAAAGGTGCCTCAGAAGAAAGGTCTGGCAATCTATTTCCCAAAAATCAACCATGGAAAACCCTATGGAGCACAGCTCTACTCACTCTGACACACATGGGGTTGCCATGAGTCAGAATTGACTCAATAGCAAGTGCTTGACATTGCGAATGTGCTTAATGACACTGAATTGTACACTTAAAAATGATTGAATGGTAACTTTTATGTTATGCTAAGTATATTTTACCACAATTAAAAAAAAAAAAAAGGTGGAAAAAAAAAATCCCAGCCAAGTTTTTTGGAAAAAAACAGAACAAAATAAACTGTGGGAGTGGATGGGACCAATTGCAACAAAGAGGTAGGGAGAGAAGAGGTCCACAGAGGTCACTCAGACATGGAAGAGTCTCTGGAGTCAGCAAGGAGAGACCTGTGACATGGGAGGAAAACCAGGCCAGAAAGAGGGCCTGTTGCAGGTTGGCCCAGGCCCCTGCTCTCAGGTCTAGCTGGCTGGGGTCTCTGCATAGCTCACCTGCCTCCATCCATCCCCCTAATGATCTCCTCCCTGCTGTCCACTGAGGGCTCCTCCCTACCTGTCCACCTGCCCACTTGTTGACCACCTCTGTCCTCCTGTCTGTCCGTGAGACTACAGATTTGCCTTTGAAGGCACAGAGATGACTTAAGATGAAATACAGGAAAGACAAGTCTTGATGGGAGGTCTGGTGGCTGAGAGAGAGCCAGAGTCTATGGCAGGGCAGGCTTCAGGGAGGCTGGCCTGGCATAGTCAGAGCCCACAGCAAAGCCCAAGCACAACTCTGTTCCTGTCCCCAATGCCACGCTGGGGCTGGCGCTGGCCCTGGCCGCTCTGCTTCTGACACTGGGGCCTTACACTGCCATGTGGTCAGGAGCCACCTCGGTCTTGGATGAAGGGAAGAAGAAGACCTGCCCAGTCCTCTGGGTGCCCCCCTCAGCACCAGGCACAGCTGCGGGAAAGAGGGCAGTGAGGAGAGTCTGCTCAGTGAGCAGTAATAGTTATGGATACTGAGTACCCTCCTGGGTCCCTGGCGCCCTGTTAAATGCTGTGTACACCCTAGTCCACCCCTGCTCCCGCAACAATCCTGTGCAGTTGGCAGCATGACTCCCATTTTGCAGAGAGAAAAATGAGGCCCAGAGAGGCTAAGCCATGGATGTGCGGTCACACGGATGTAAGTAGTGGAGCCTGGACTTGAACTTGAGAGCCCATGCTCTTCACCAGTCTCCCACCTCGTGAGACCCAAAGCTGCCATTTCATAATACTTTGCCCCCTTTACACTCCTGAATGAAATTTATGGCTAATATGAAAACCTCCATATCTAATAAAAACTTCTTTTTTTGGTCCTATAAGAGAAACAAAAGGTAGGATATGTATTTAATTGTGACATAGTCCATTGCTAGGAAGGTGACAGCTGAGTGCAGACGACCCTGGAATATTGTGGTGTTGTCAGTGTCTGAAACGGTAAAGAACTGGTGAAGTTCTGAACAACAGCAAGTATAAACTCCCACCACTTTACACAGTAGTTGCATTCCTGGAAAATTCAGTGTATATTATGTATACACAAGTCCTTTGTGTTTACGAGTAAAATGGGAGTTTTGGCTCTGACCATTATAAACAAGTTTTTTCCTATGTCATGCAGGATGTAGAATCTGCCTTCCTTGTGGGATTGTCTGGAGTCGCTGGCCCCCTCTCTAAATAGCACCGCCCAGTCATTGTGACAACCAATTCCCCAAACTCCCTCCCACCCTCGCAGTGGACACAACAGAAAAGATTCCTGCTCTTCATGGAGCTTAACATAAAAGTAGGGGACAGATATAATAATCAAATATATGATGTCAGGTTGTGATAAATGCAATGAAGAAAAATAAGTGGGGGAGGGGCTGGAGAATGGCAGGTGGACGTGGTCAGGGAAGGCCTCTTTGACCGTGGCTGTTGCCATTCAGGTGATTCCGACTCATAGCGACCCTACAGGACAGAATAGAACCTGCCCCATAGGGTTTCCGAGGAGTGGCTGGTGGATTTGAACTGCTGACTTTTTGTAGCAACTGTAGCTCTTAACTACTACGCCACCAGGGCTCTAAGGCCTCTTTGAGGAGGTGACATTTGAGCTGAGACCTGGCTGAAGTGAGGGAGGAAGGCATGCAAATGTTTGGGGGAGAGCCTTCCAGTCAGAAAGAAAAGACAGCACAAAGGCCCTGAAGTAGAAGACGGTGCTTGGCTTGTTCCAGGATCAGCAAGGAGGCCTGTGTAGCTGGGCCAGAGTGAGCGAGGGGTGAGGGGCCGAGAAGTCAGAGGTAGCCAGGGACCTGATGGGTAGAGCCTTACAAGTCAGAGTCAGGCCTTTGGACTTGATTCTGCATGAGGCAGGAAGCCATCAGAGGGTTGTGAGCAGGAGAAGAACAAACTCTCAGTTTTAAAAGGCTCACTCTGGCTGCCATGTGGAAACTGGGCTGTTTCCCAGAGGGACGGGAGACCAGTGAGGCAAGAGATGGTGGCTTAGACAAGGGGGTGGAGGTGTGAAAAGTGGCCAGATTCTGTATATGTTCTGAAGGTAGGGCCCAGCTGACAGGATTAGCAGTGCACTTGACATGGAGAGGAGCCCTGGTAGCGCAGTGGTTAAAAGCTCAAGCTGCTAACCAAAAGGTTGGCAGTTCAAATCCACCAGCTGCTCCTTGGAAACGGGCAGTTCTACTCTGTTGTATAGGGTCACTATGAGTCGGAATCGACTCAAGGGCAATGGGTTTTTTTTTTTGGTTTTTTGGTTTGAACGTGGAATACGAGAGTAGTCAAGAATAACAGGTTTGAAGCCTGAACAATCCAGCCATTGAGACTCATTTCCTCACTTCCTTTCCAACCTCAGACAGCAACACAGCTCCAGTTTGGCTTCTCGCTGAAGGGGACACTGGAGATCAGGCGGTGGTTAAAATAGATGGAAACGTCTCATTTTTAACTTGCTTGACCTCTCGGGACAGAAGGTACTGTTAATCACACCCACCTTTCTGGTACTTTCCCCTTCCTTTGCCCTCAGGGCTCACAGTACAGACATGGTTGAAGGAAGAGCAACCTAAGAAGTTCAGGAGTTCTGGAGTGTCAGCTGTGTGCCAGGCATGGTTCTGGGTGTAGGGATACAAGAGTGAGCCAAACGAAGTCCCTGCTGCGCGGAACTTGCTGTTACCGCTTACTGCTGAGTGTGTGCCTAACTGGTGCAGGGGCCCAGGGGAGACTCATAAACTCAACAGAGGCTGAGCGATGGAGGGGCAGGAGTGAGCTGCAAATGGAGACGAGGTCCAGGCAGCGGCTGGTAGAGCTGGAGAGCGGCAAGGTGGGGCAAGGGTATCCTTCCTCCTTTCGAGGTCTGTGAGCACCTTCTGGTGAAGCATCCAGGGCTGCTTTAATGATAAGGTGTGGGACAGATGTAGTGGGCAAAATGTGGCCAGGAAGATGGATGGCTACCTGGCTGCTGGGGTAGGGATAGGGGTGGGGCGGTGGGGTGCGGTTCGGGACTAGAATCCTGTCTTGGACAGGAGCCACCCCGTGTAGCTGCAGGACCCTTGACGGAAAGGGCTCAGCCTGCGTGGGTCTCTGCTCCTTTTCTGCCCTGGGCCTGAGGGCTCCAGGCCACTGTGTGTGATAATGGGAGCATGTTCTGGGTTCCTGCACACAAAAGTGGGTTTGCACTTGCACTGGGGTGTGCAGGGAGGGGCCAGCGTACCTCTAGCTTCACTGCTCTGTAAGCTCAGCCTGCAAAGTCTAAATTTAGGCGAAGGAAGGAAGGAAGGCAGGAAGGAGCCCCTTGGCATCCTATGGAAGGGAAGGGAGGGGAGGGGAGGAGAGGAGAAGGGATGGTGGGGCAGGAAAAGGCCTGGCCGGCCCTTCTCTTTACCCCAGCTACCCTAGTGGGTATGTGGGTACATGGGTAGTCTCCATCTGGCCAGGTCCCCCACCGCCCAACCCGAGATGGGGGTTTGGCTGGGAGAGAGGATCAGTACTCTTCAGCTGCTCTGCAGGGCCACCTCCCGCCTGCGGAGGCCTGGGGCTGGGCCAAGCCAAGAAGGGAGCTCCCACTTGGGCACCTAGCAGGAGGCTGGACCAGTGGCTCTGGGAGAATGCTGGGTAGTCTGGTCCTCTTCCCCTATTCAAAACAGTGATGCCAGGTGCCACTGCTGGCTGGGGGACATATCCAGGGCGCCTGGCGGCAGAGCCAAGAGCTGTAGGAATCTGAGTTGGGAACTGGGCTGTCTTGCTGGGATGAGAGAAGGACTGGGCTGGGTGGGGCCAGAGAGATGGGGGTGGGGGCGGAAAGGGCAAGAACGGAGGACGATACAGGCACAGTGCCTCCAGATCAGGAAGTTTTATTGCTGACATGCAGGAAGAGTCCCCATGTAGTACAAAAATATGTCTTTATACAAACTTTTTTGTGACTTTTTCCGTTTTGTTTTGTTTCTTTACAATAGGACTTCTCTCAGTATGTGACAGCCAGTGAGGGCAGACCCAACCTCCTCTCGTTTGCTTTGCCAGAAATGCAATCAGACACATGGGCGAACCTTGGAAGGACCAGTCTGTCTGACAGGGCTTTGCAGACCCGGAGGATATTGCTTTGAAAAGGAGGAGAAAGACCACACATGGAAAGCAGGCCCTGGAGGGTCTGGGCAGGCCGCTGGCACAGGGGCTCGCAGAGGCGGGCTCCGGCCGTCTCAGACCCTTACAGGACGAGAGTCACAGGGGCTGGGAGCCCTAGGTCAGACTATTTTTCCATTCCCTTAGGAGGATTTTGTTTTTGAAATAAATATAGAAAAGAGGGCACCCCCACCCGCCCCAGCACAATACTCTGGCTCTCAGTGACTGGATGGCTGAGACAGAGGCAGAGTTTGGTGGTCAGGGGAATAAGTGCTGGGCTCAGGCGGGCTCCCACAGACCCACCGAGGCCGAGGCGCAAGCCGCCCAAGTGCTGGGATGGGGGGCATGGGGAGGAAAGGGCGAGGGTGGCCCTGCTACTGCTGGCAAGAGGTGGCCCCATTTTTTCCAGATGGGGAAACTGAGGCACAAGGAAGTTTGGGAACTTGCCCAAGGTCACTCACAGTGAGTCAGCTTTGAGGGGGGCAGCTCACACCCTGGGAACATGGCCACTGAGGCCTGGGGCACCTCCCCACTGGGGAGCAAGGACAGGCAGAAGGGGTCCTGCCAGTTGGCCAGGGGCATAGGGGGAAGGCCTCTGGGGAAGGGTCTTTGCTTGGCACTGGGCAGGGCCAAGTCCAGTGAGGGAGAGGGGGAGGGGAGGGGAGGGCATTCTGGTGAGAACAGCATTTCTGGCAAGACGGGCATCCACTTCAAAAAATTCGGCTCAAAAAGGGCAGCAGGGCTGTTCTCATGCCAGGCAAGGCAGGGTCCTTCAATCCCTGCAATTCTCCCCACAAGCCTCTCACCCCCCCATGAAGGACCTGGGCGGGGTCTGCTGGGAGAGACACCACATGTATTATGAGGCAAGGGCAGGAGAGATGCCACCGCCACGTTCTCTGGACACTAGAGTGGGGGGAGGGTGAGAGAGTACGAGGACAGGGTCCCCACCCAGCTCTCCGGCCAGCTCCAAGCAGCCATCCCAAGCCCAGCCACCAGGGAGCCCCCTTCACATTGTAATGTCAACGCTACCTTGGTACCACGGTGAAGGATGGAGAGGGAAACCAGAGTTAATGCAAGTGTACATCACCTCAGAGAAGCTACTGAGATGGGGAAAAAGAACCAAGTCTAGAAAGGCCTCCCCATCACCGGAGAGGAAGAGGGACTGGTGGGCTGAGTGGAGCAGGGCCAGCAAGAAGGGGCTTCGCGGGACCTGGAGGGCGAGGAGGGGAACCCATCTGGGGCTGTGCGTCAGACACCCCATGCTGCCCAGCCAGGCTGGTGTGGGGAGCAGCCTTGGGCCACCTAGCGACGGGAGAGAAGTTGGTTTCAGTAAAAAAATAAATATATTTGAATTCGGCTTAAGATGAGGTGAATGTTTTCCGAAGCTTGGACCGAGGGTTCTGGGACCAGAAGTGGGGAAAAGGGAGGGAGGGAGGAAAGCAAAGATGGTGGGGGGGCACTCTAGGGAGTGGGCATCACTTTGGGAGCCAGCAGCGAGCGGCACGTTCAGCTTATCTGGACTGTGGGGAGCAGCTGCCCTGGGCTAGGCGGCTGGGTTGGGCCCCTGGCTGGGCAGGTGGGCTTCCTCCTCCTCCCTCTCACTCAGTCCAGAGACAGCATGGTTAAAGAGACAGAGGTAGATTAAAACGTCATGATTAAAAGCAGATTAGTTATCTAGGCTTCTCAGATTAAAAACCAAACAATCACGCAATCATTCCGAAAGGTAGCCTCGTGGTACCTCTGCTGACCCAGTCTGTGACCTGGACTGTCCCTGTCCCTGTCCCCCTCCCTGTCACAGCCAGGGGGAGAGTCCAATGCTACAAGGCCCAGCTCCAACGGCTGGGCCTCCGGCTGGGGGCCAGGAAGAGGCGGCAGGTGGTGCTGGTGGCCCTGGCTGAGGTGGCTATTTCCGCAGGTAGCGCTGCGCCAGGATGGCCGCGTCCAACGGGTTCATGGGCTGCGCGTCGTGGCCCAGCCGTCGCACCGGTGGCACGCCGCCAAACTGCCGCTTGGGTACCCAGCTCCGGGCCTCGTGAATGGAGCTCTTCTCCTCAGCCAGCAGCAGCTGCTGCCGCATGTAGCTCTCAAACTCGTACTGGGAGCACTCCTCAGTCACCTTCGCCTACGACGCCGCGAGGGAGGAGAGGGCAGACAGAGAAAGTCAGAAACACAGAAAGACAGAAACGCAGACAGGGAGAGCGATAAAGACAGGCTCGCAGGGAGAGATGAGGCAGATAGGAGACAAACACGGAGATAAAGAGATGAGAGTGGCAGTCAGACAGAGGGAGGAGAGACGGAGAGCAGGAGTGAGTGTCAGATGGCCCGGCTCCCAAGGCCTGCCTTCTGGCATGGGTAGCTGAGTGTGGGGCTCCTGGAAGCCCTCCTGCCCCCCTTGGTGTTGGTGCAATCAGAGCTGATCCCTCTCTTCTTAACGTGTTGACCCTGGCAAAGATCATGTCACCTCTTAAGCTTTAGCTTCCTTACCTGTGAAATGGGCAATAACCTGCCCTCACAAAGGTTGCTATGAACCTTGATGGGGGCTGTGCTGGGCTGCTCAGCACCTGGGCGGCCGTTTCTTTATCTTGGCCATGCACATGGGCCCCAAGGTGAGCTCTCTGGAGAGGCCCAGGCAGACAGTAATAGAGACGGAAGTGGTAGGTCCCTGCGCTAATCAGAGGGGGAAAGCAGGGCTCTGGATTCAGACTTGGGTTCAAGGCTCAGCAACCACTTCCAGGCTGTGTGACTCTGGGCAAATTATTTTCCCTCTCTGACCCTCAGTTTCCTCTTTTGTAAAATGGGGATAAGAATACAGGCCACACAGGCCTGGAGTGAGGGCAGGATAAGAGGCGCTGGGAGTGCAGTGGCACTCATTGCATGCTAGTGATGATTATTTTTAGCACAAGGAGGGGTGGGATATGGACTGCGAGGTGGAGAGTTAACGACTGGAACTCCTTTTCCTCAAGGGCCAGGAGGCTCTGCTGCCGTCCCAGGCATGGTCCCTCCAGCTCCTACTGCCCAGTGCTTGCTGTGCAGCTCCAGAGTGGGCCCAGGAGGGAAGGCCCTTTCAGCACCCCAGGCCCAGCATCCCTCCCAGGCTCGGCCAAGCCCTACCCTCCAGAGGGCACCCTAAGATCACCCGCCCACTGTCACCTAGTGCCCCAATTTCCTGCCCCCATCCCAGCCCACTGCTTTCTCCAGTGCAGGGAACAGGGGTGGGGAGAAAATGAATCATCTGAAAAATGAAAAGCAGGAAGGGTGAGAGAGAACCCATGAGTCAGAGGGGCAGAGAAATGTGACCCTTTAAAGGGCCAGCACAGGAAGCAGCAGCTGAGAGAGGGCCAGGCTGGGCTGTGTGGGGCCTTCCAGGGGCCAGTTTCCACCTCACATGCACCACAACCTTCTCTCAGGCCCAGCTAGACACACGGTAGGCCCCAGGCAGCTTGGGCTGAGGATGCCCATGGCCTGCGGGGGAGCTGCTGCCCCTGCCCCGCCTGCTCTCCTTTAGGTCTTCAGTAAAATGGCCATCCGCCCGATCCAACTCACCTCCTGGGAGCTGTCAGCATTGCTCATTTGGTCATCGATGTCTGGAACCACTTGCAAAGGCCCACTCAGAGACGACAGGGACTGCCTGTGGGGACGCAGACGGGTCAGGATGGCTAGGGCAACCCCAGGGCCCTGTCCCCCAGCCCTGGCTGGCAGGAGCCCACAGGGGCCAGGTGCCCACTGCTCTAAAACTTGGCTGGAGTCAGATAGACCTGGGTATGGGTACCAGCTCAGCCTCTTCCTGGCATGACTGATCACTTCTCTGGGCTTCAGTTTTCTCATCTAACAAAGGGGAACAATTTCTACCTCACAGGCTGTGGTGAGAACTCACTGACGTAATGCCCATCCCATACTTGGCATGGACCTGGCCTGTGGGTCCTGAGTTCTGCTTGCACCTCCTAACCTTGCCCATGGGGGAAGAGTCTGGAATTCTGACTGCCTGGCAGAGAAACAGGCTTTGTTTCTGGGCAGGACGGGCAGTGCCTATGGACAAATAGAGCATCTTAGAACCCAGCCTGATGCCCAGTGCCAGCTGCTCACTTACCAAGATGCAATGATGGCACTGAGGGCCTCCAGGACATCGGTGGCGGCGAGGCGCTGCTGGGGGTCGAGGACCAGCAGTTTCCGGATGAGACACACGGTGTTCTCGGAAACCCGCCCATCCCTGACACAGAGAGGGAGAGGGAGAGGGCTCAGGCAGGGTGGGCTGGTGCTGGGCCTCTGACCCAGGACTCCACGCTTGGCTGGGGCGCCTCTGCCCCTCAAGCCCAAAGGGCTGGGGACACCCTCCCGTCCCCGGGGAGGCAGAGACTCACTCAGGGATGGTGTACTCGGCGGCCTTGATCTTGCGGAAGAGCTCTTGTGGGATGCTGTCGTAGAAGGGGAACTGGCCGTACAGCATGGTGAAGAGCACCACGCCCAGGGCCCACATGTCGCTCGGCTTGCCCCGGTATGGCCGGCCTGCGGGGCGGCGGACACACACTCAGCCAGGGCGCCCTCCTGCCTGGCCCAGCCCGTGGCAGGGAAAGGGAATGGCCCTGTGATGGACCCAGCGCTCCTCAGCTGTCAGCTATGTGCCTGGACAGCCCCATGGGACCCCTCCACCTTGCACCTTACTCTGGTCACACTCTTTCCACTTCCCAGAGTGAGTTACACCGTCTCAGGCCTCGGAGTCTGGCACAGTTGCTTCCCTCCCTGCTCATCAGTTTGACTCCTGTTTGTGCTCTCGAGACCGGGCTCAGCAGGATGATGCTGCTGATGGTGACACCTTTCCTGGCTTCCGAGGGGAAGGGATCACATGTGGCCTTGTGCAACCCACCCGCCTGCCACAGGCCACCTGCCTCCTTACAGCCCCTGCTCTGCTCCGCTGGACTATCTGCCAGCCTCAAACAACCAGCTCCTTGAGAGCCGACCTGGTCGACGGCTGGGCTTCCAGCAGAGTGTCTGACAGAACAGGTGGTCCAGAGATGTTTGTAGAACTAAGGGAGAATGACTGGGACATGCCAGCCACTCCCTGCCCCCAGTCACTGTTGCACTGTCCTGCTGGTTTCTCTCAGGGCGCCTAGCACAATGTGGACGGAGATACTTTTTGTCTAATGCTGACTCTCCATCTTCCACTAGAAGCCTTTGCTCACGGCTGAACCCCAGTGTCGAGATGGACTCAGTAAATATCTGCTAAATGAATGAATATCCAGTTAACCTCTCTCTGCTAGTTTCCTTATCTGTAAAATGGAAGCAAGCTCATCTTTAACTGAGCACCGACGTGATGGAGCCCTGGTGGCACAGTGGTTAAAAGCTCGACTGCTAACCAAAACGTTGGCAGTTCAAATCCACCAGCTGCTCCCTGGAAACTTACAATCAACATTTTCATTTCACTAAATCTCTGTCACAACTCTCTGAATTTGATAATACCCCTATTATTCCAGAGAGGAAATTGAGGGCCGGGAATGTTACTTTGCCCCAGGTCACATGACTGGAGAGTGCCAGAGTTGGGATGTGAACCCATGTCTGACTGTAAAAGCCCCGCTCTTCCCATATTTAGGGCCCACCCATCTATCTATCAGTAAGAGAGCACCTGCCCCCTAAATGTAAAGTATGAGAACTCAAGCTGCTCAAAAGCCCCTGCCCCACTGCCCTCTGTGACAGTGGCCTCTCCTGGAGTTCCAGAATACCCTGCTGTTGGGTGCAGAAGACAAGCTGTCAGGCACCTCAGTGTCACCTCCCTCGGTGCCAGGCAGCACTCAGGCAACTAAGATCCCTCCTCCAGCCTAGCTGGAGATGGGTGGGGACCCACTGCTTTCATAAAAGGGGAGCTGGAGGTCAAGCTCTCCACGGTCAAGCAGCTTAACTGGGTGGGTGCACGTAGGCACTGACGGGCCAGTACAGGCTCTAGCTCTGCCTTTAGAAGGTACCATGGAGCCTTCTGAACTGAGCCTGTCACTCCATCTGTCAAATGAGGATGACAATGATGGCCACCACACGGGGCTGTGGTGAGGAGGGGCTCCGGCCTGGCTGCTACCGCAGGCAGCTTTGTGAAGACAAGCCTTCCCCAGCTCTCCCCAAGGCTGCATCGCTCTAGCCCTGTCCAGCCCCACAGTGGCCAAAAGCAGCGTGGTGACCTTGCACAGCTGACCCCCCAGTCAGCCCCTCTCTTCCAGACCTGCTCCACCAAGTGGGGTCAACTGGACATGTGAGTCACCAGTACAGAGTCCATTCTTTGATCCGATATCCTTAGCTCTGTATGGCTCCAAAAACGGCGCTTCCTCTCCTGGAGGAGCTGGAGGGAGGGTCCTGCTGAGATGCCCGAGACAGAATCACAGGGCTAAGGCAGGAGGGGTGCCCTCAGTCTGAGCCAGCCCAGCAGACAGGCCCAGAACTCCTGCTCTGAGCTGGATGGGGGCTAGGTGGCCCCTCTGGTAGACAAGCTCTGTGAGGCACTCTCACCATGCAGGGACCTTTCCCTCCAAATCCCACTGACCCTCAAACTCTGCTTTCAGTAATAATAAGGCCAGGTACTGTTTACTGAGCAGATGCTAGGTGATGGGCTTTATTGAGCCCCACGGGGACCTAATGAAGTAGATGCTATTATTATTTCTATTTTATAGCTGAGAAAACTGAGGCCCAGAGGTCAGTAACTTTCCCAAAGCCACATAGTTATTAACCAGACTATAAACTATAAGAACAAGACTGTCTGCCTTTTCACAGCTGCATGTCCGCTGCCCAGGGCTGTGCTTGGCGCACAGAGAATGAACGAAGTGGCAGATCTGGAATCTAAACACAGACAGCAGGATTCCAGAGCAAGTGCTACCTTGTACTATAAAGCATCTCACTCGTCCTCTTGAAGATGGAGGCAGGGTTGCTTCCAGCCTTTAACCCATGAAAAGACTGACGTTCAGAAAAGGGGGTTGAAGGCCAAAGCCACACAGCTGGTTAAATAGCAAGGCCAGAATTAGAACCTGGGTCCCTGGTCTCACAGTCTAGGAGTCTTTCTGCTGCAGTGGGCTCCCTCTGTTTCATCTTCCAAGACTGGCACAGGCTTGGAAGAGCCAGAGAGGCCACAGGCAGCAGCAGGGCGAACTTTGAGGCCTCCTGCACCACACACAGAGGCCACCTGAGCCTGTCCGGCCCTCCCAGCGCCTAGCTGTGCAGACAGTCACAGGCCTGCCCACGTACCTGGCTCTATCACCCACAGGGATGCTTCTGGGACTATCATGGAGGGTATCCAGGCTGGGTTGTGCCATTGGGGATGGTGCCCAGGGAGCTTGAGTGGCCCCCTGGCCCCCTGATCCCTCTAGCAGAGGCAATGGTGACGCCAGCCAAAACCCGAGGCCTGGGAAGTGGCACCACTACTTCCTCTGCAGGCGGGCAGCCCTGG